TTTTCGGAATATAAGTAAAATGATTGTTCTGATGTTATTAATATTTTACTATAGTCCTCTAATAAATGAATTCATTTGTTTTCCTCTGAGCTGTAGTGTAGACTAAACTGTCACTACATCTTCACAGCTAACATGCACGATTTTTCTTTTTTACTTTGATATTCACATTTTGAGAACGATCAGTTAAAGTGAGTATGTTCAAATCATAACCTTGCCACTTCTATTACAGTATTTCCTTAAATATTTTTCAGCGCATACTAAAAACAAGAAATATTGAAACTAAATTTCTTAAGGTACTTCGTCGTCATCATCGAATAGAGTTCAAAATATTTTATTTTTCGTATTAAAATTCCAAATACCACTCGATAATAATTGAAAGTACTTTATACTCTGCCGATAAAATTCTCCTTATGAAGGCCTGCCTAGGTTGACTTTTTAGTCCAAAAATCAGCGCAAAGTTTAGGCGCTCACAGGCATTCGTGATGAATTTTTCCCTCCACGTCGAAGACTTAATTAGAGTTACCCTGAAAACACTGATCGCGCGTTAACGCGAACACGACCGAAGCCTTGCAGCTTCACTGAGACCAGTTAGGGTAAGTTTTCCTCGCGCATGAAGCTATAAAATTTCAGATTTCGGAGAATATTTTTGGAGGGAAATGGAATGCAAAGAAAATGTTATCTTAGCGCCTAAAAATGCCAAAACATACTTTTGAGTAGAGTGAAAGTTGACTAATTTTGTTTTTTAGCGCATGTTTCACTCGACACCCGATGTTAAAACCTTTGGGAAAGTAAATATGGACGCGATATGAACGTAAAATTTGAATCACCTACTACAACTACAGTTTTATAAATATATGTTTTTTTTAAATCGGTGATTTGGGTCCGAAGATCTCTTGCATTGATAGGGAGTTAATCTAGAAGTGATTTGAAATCAACATCATGCATGATAAAATATTCTTCTTGAATACAAAAATTAATCAAATAGTAATATTTGGTCTCCCATCAATTGAGTGGAGGCACGCAACCATGCATTACTTGATCGCCCATCAACTGAGAGCAAGAGGCTATTGCAATTGAGACCTTCTGGTTGTGCAAGAAACTTAAGATATTCGCTACATTGCTCTCGCGCTTCACTTGATGTTCTGTCTTGTCGTCTCGAACAAAAGACCCGGACCAGATTTTAAGGTCTGTTTTGGACAAGACGATGGAGCACTTCATTTTTTGGGGACATTAGGCGGGTAGCCATTTTTGGAGCACTTGCGTAAAAAGATACGAAAAAATACTCGTCCACTAACAAGTTTTGGTATCCAGAGTAGAGGAGTTGGATCCCAAAAGAAACCCAGCTAAAGTCTCTTGTTTAATTTGTATGCAAACAGAAGAAGGTCGCTGCCTGCTAGAAGGAAAGGCAACCTGCCTCTCCCTCCCCACGCTGGCGCTCTCGCTCGACCGTTTAATGACTTCTTTACTAATTTTCAGCTGCGAAGTTATAATTTAATTGCCTAATATAGTTGAGTAACGTCAATTTTGGAAGCAATTTTGTTCCTCATAGAAGATTTCCTTCTTTTTTTATATAAAACTCTCCAAGCTATATGATTGAAAAAAATCAGTAACATTAGCTCATCCTGAATTTACCCAATGAACTCGGGTACCAATTAGCCTGCCTATTCACTTCAGACCTCAATATTTAGTCAAATATTTTGGTCCGATTCTGTTAAAAGTGTTGTTGTGATTCCATCTTTAAATAGTTAAGGTATACCCTATATATTTACCTACACAAACATACTAAGCCCTGAACAAACAGGGTTTTTTTGCAAAAATATGAATCACTTTAAGCAGATTATTAATTTACTCCTGGACGAGAAAAACGAAAATGAATGTGGCTCTCCACCGACGACCAGTGACATTTATATCAGCGGCCGTTGCAATAAAAATACCGAAGTCTGTCATCATCGACCGCTCTTCCCCTGCGTCTCGCCTTCAATTATTACCTCTTTTGTTCCGAGTCGCCACTTGGGCTTCGTTCCCCCAGCAGGGAAGCGGCAACTGCTACCAGCGAATGCACAAGAGAATTGCAATTGACGTGAATTTCTATGAATAATAACACTTGGGTTCTGTTCTCTCAGCAGAACAGCAGCAACTGTTATAAACGAATGAGTCAAGCAAGTAACTGACGGAAACTTCGGTGAAGAACACTTAGATTTTGTTCTCTCAGCATGACAGAAGCAAGTATTAGAAACGAATGAGTCAAGCAAGTAACTTACGGAAACTTCGGTGAAGAACACTTGGTTTTGTTCTCTATGCAGGACAAAAGCAAGTATTAGAAACGAATGAGTCAAGCAAGTAACTGACGGAAACTTCGGTGAAGAACACCTGGATTTTGTTCTCTCAGCATGACAGAAGCAAGTATTAGAAACGAATGAGTCAAGCAAGCAACTGACGGAAACTTCGGTGAAGAACACTTGGGTTTTGTTCTCTCAGCAGGACAGAAGTAACTGTTATAAACGAATGAGTCAAGCAAGTAACTGACGGAAACTTAGGTGAAGAACACTTGGGTTCTGTTATCTCGGCAGGACAGAAGTAACTGTTACAAACGATTGGGCAAGGCGTCAAGGAAGCAACTGTCGTAGACTTCAGTGAAGAATAATTGGGCTGGGTTCCCGTAGCAGAGCAGGGCAACTGCCACAAAATATTTCAGCAGGGACGCAACTGACGAGTTACATATAAGTGAGGAACACTCATTCGCACAACTTCTATCTGAAATGCAAAGTTTTTTATTGAATATGACTCACAAAAAATACACGTTACGCAAGTTTCTTCAAAGGCTAGTTCTATTTCTGCAATGTGGGCCTCATCATTCGAAATTTCTGGAAATAAATTTCATTTGTGATTAAAAATTTTTCATCGCATATTATTTGCAAATTATTTTATTGAACAAAAAATTTTGCAGGATATTCGATTTGATATTTCGTAAAACTGGATTACATGAAAATAGTTTCTTCCTGTGCCCTCAGGAGCACCAAACAAAAGTTTTTCTTAATGCATGCGTCTCAGCGCAGATATTCCGCATAGTTAAATTAGCCTTAGCTTATTTGCCATGAAGAACGAATGTAATTCCATCTGAATTATTTCATGTTAGGTAAATGGCCTTGTTGAGATTCCGCTTCCATATTTTTCTGGTTCATTCTGATTGCAGCTAGGCAAACCATTCGTCAACATACATCATGCAAATACATTTTTACATGAATCATGCAGGCATTCGTCTACAGCCATCATGCAGACATTCGTCTACAGTCAGCATGCTAATACTTTTTTACATGCATCATGCAGACATTAGTCTAAAGCCCTTATGCTGATACTTTACTACATCCATCAGGCAGACATTCGCCTACATCCATCATGCAGACATTCGTCTGCATCCAGTAATGACTGATTGTTTTAACATAACATAACATAGTGATGTCGGCGCTAAAGAGTATAGGCCTGATGTGGCCTGTCGCCGATTCTTGAACTTTTCGTGACCTCTTTGCAGAAGATCTAAAATCGTGTCATTTGACCGGATATTTTCATGACTGACGATAGTTTGAAATAGCTACTAGACTTCCACAGAGATCGATATGGTGCTAGGCATTTCAAGTCTGAACATATATTTTTCCATAGCTTTATCTAGTCTGTTCTTGAACGCGTTCATACTCGGAGTGCCAACAATGTAATCAGGGAGGCTGTTCCACATATGTCGGTGATTCGAAGCGAGAAGAAATGTTGTCGCGTGGACAAGTTGCAGCGCAGTTTTTTTAGTTTATAGCCGTGGCCACTGGGGTTGGTTCTTGTTTCAAATTCTAGTAATCCTTCGGGGACCTTGTACAAACCGTGAGTATACTTGTATACATCAATGAGGTTCCCACGCAGACGTCGATAACTGAGGCTTGGAAGCTTCATAATCTTTCATCTTTCTTCATATGGACTTGCCCTTCAAGCCTGGAATTATCCTTGTTGCACGTCTTTGAACATTCTCTATTAAATTGTTGTCCATAATCAAATCTCGGTGACCTCACAACGCTTTCAAACTCTGAATTCAGGCGCACGACAGCAACAAACAACTGCTTCATCGCTTCTGCACTGCTTCATCGCTTAAGCACTAAACCACAGCACTTCATCGCTTACACATACGATGTATGAGCGTTCCATGATACTGCTCTGCATTAAAATAAAAAACACAAATTCTACAAATTGAACTTGATTGAAAGTGAAATAGAGTTTATATCTTCCGCTGAATTATTGTTATCTTGCTCGCTGTCAATAAATCATGTCCTCTCCAGTGATTAACCTTGTGATTATATCGTGAAGATAATATCGTTGTTTACTGAACTATATAAATTTACCGCTACAGTCTCTCGCATATATCAACTGAGAATCCATAATTCATTTTTCATTCAGGTAACTTTTCAGTCGGACCATCGCATAGGACATAGAATGAAAGGCAGCAGACATTTGCCGCAATCTCATTTCACCAATATTTCTGTTTGATGTTTCTAATTAGCAACCGCTTTCAACGTTGCTTTCAAGTCTTAAGAAGGCAACTTCCCAACGTAATTGGGAAGAACGCGTTTCCATGGTCGATGGACTCAATCACGGCAAGTCCATGCCGGTCCATTAGAGTTCTCTGACGAGGTCGGTCCACAGATTATTTGGGTTGGATTTTATTTGCGGACTTAGTACAGTAGTCATGTCAGCAGAAGCATTTCTGTTTCTATTCTTACGCGATGAGTATTTTTGCAGTATTAGATTTAGAGAGGTTAATTAATTAAATTAAATCAATAGAACAAAATAACGGCTATTTTCTAGGTACTGTAAACTTATTTCCTCTGTGCAAGATTTTGGCAGCCGCAAATAATTAGCAAGTTGATTTCCATGGTTGATTTCTTTCATGCAATTCATCCACCGATGCAGTCACTTGAGTGGGACCTTAAAGTATGTTCTAATTGGTGGAAAGTAAATGTTCTCAAAATACGTGATATACGTTCGGACTCATATACATAGAATTACTTGTTCCTAAAACTCTGTTTCGTTCTGTTGACTATGTAATAAAAATAATCTCTGATTTGAGTTACGACGAAATGTAAAAAATTCCACAGACAACTTTTCCGACAGTGTGGCAGAGCAGACCTATTCCCGGCAATCCTTGCTAGCCGCTGGCTGCTCCGTCATCGAAGTTCGAACAATCGAAAGTCAATTGTCCAAGTAGCTAATTCGTCTGGGTTCTTCACTCTAAATTTTAAACCGAGTATAAAAATGCCCGTGGTTGATGTTAAATCTGCTGGTGATTTCAGCAAGCTTCAAGAGTAAGTGCACCTATTTTTACCCGAGTCGAAAGCAATATTGTTTGTGTCAATAAATTAACATTTCAAGCAGAATTTCTGCTCTTCAACATTACTTTATTTATCTTTATAACAATCGTGTCATTTCCTTCTTCCATCAGAAAATGTGGAGTACTTGTGTGTCACTTCCAAGCTGAATGGGCACCTCAGTGCAAGCAGATCAGTGATGTTATCTCAGAATTGGCAAATCAACCTGACACAAAGGTAAATCATATTAGGTAGCTAATAGCTACATAAATTTTTCTTTTTCATAGAAATGATAGAACTTCAAGAATCAAGAGATAGGTATAGAAGTGTAAGTAAATTGTGTAACATGTATAAAACCCTTATATCCCTTAACATTTGATATTAGATAGCCTAAGATCATTTCATTGGCTTCTTACTTTAAGTTACTTATATTCCAGCCAAAAATATGCCATTTTTTCTTTATTCTTTTATTATGAAATATTACCATAAGCCAGATAAGGTGTGAGGTTAAATCTAGGTACCATAAAATGGGGTAACTTAGACCACTTTTCTTTTTATAAATGATGCCATTTTTTTACTAGCTAAATTAAACTTGAATTGAAACATGCAAAACACAGGTATATACGCTAGCTTCACTCACCATAAATTGCTGGCTCCTGCCTCTCATAGTCTTTATGTAATTTCAAAAAAAGTGATGGTCTTTGTTACCCCAGCTCTTGGGGTAACTTAGACTTGGTGGTAAAATCAATTATATTTCTAATAAAATAAATAAATAAATAATACAATAAAATAAATATTGTATTATTTATTATATATAAATAATACAATATAAATAAATAAATAAAATAACTCCAAATAACTCCAGGTTTTGGTGCATTGTAGTAGAACCCTTCTAGTTACATTTGCAAATGACAAACTTGAGGAAAGTGTCCTAGTTTGCAAATGGGGGGTGATGCCCCATAATGAAGGAAATGTGACTACCTAATGGCAGCCCTGATGGGGTAATATTGACTGGCTTGGAAATTAAGTTAAAATTACCATATATTATTATGTTATATATGGTAATTTTATATTAACTTCCAAGCCGGTCTATGTTACCCCGTCAGGGCTGACATTAGGTGGTCTAAGTTACCCCATTTGGGGGCGGCGCCCCCCATTTGCAAACTATGACACTTTCCTAAAATTTGTCATTTGCATATGTAACTAAAAGAGTTTTACTACAATGCATCAAAACCTGAAGTTATTTAACCAAAAAATAAAAAAAATGGAGGGGGTACTCTGACAGGCTTTAAATAATAGTTTTTTTTTGTGGGTCACATTTGTAATTTTTTAACCTATTAGATATGCAAACTTTTCAAATCTTTCTATTATGTTATGTAGCCTCAGTATTAGGCCTTTAATGCCCATTGACATAATTTTTCTATGTCAAATAGTTTTTGAGTTGTTGGGGTTTTTGTTAAAAAAACTAAAAGTGGTCTAAGTTACCCCGCCGGTCTAAGTTACCCCATTTTACAGTAGCCTAATTCCCCTAATAGACCTTACACTTATGGCTTAGCCTATGCCTTATTGGTAAAATTTTCTAAAAATTTCGATTGAAAAAATGTTTTCACCATTTTACTGGTAATTTTCAATGAGTAAGAGCAATTTAGCAGAAAAAGCTACCATCAAAATCAAATGGGGTAATAAGGGACACCTCACACCTGGGACGGCCCCGGATGGGCAGGGTAAATGTAGCAGCTAAACTAATCAAAATATTGCACAACTAAAAATAGTAGGCACAAAGTTTAAGATATTTACTAATTACTATCTAGTATCTATGTAGTTCAAAGCAAAAAAAATTATACATTTACTACTTGATCAGCTGATCTATCTCTAATTCACATCAATAATACAGTAATGTATGGATATGGTAGCTAATATCATATCGATAAAGGAAAAATGAGTAAAAATCATGGAAAATGTCATTTATTCTCCATCTACATCATCTACAGAGGGAAACGAGGACATCAGAGTTCAGACTTTCAGAGTTCTGTTAGTGATGGATGACTTCACTCTGCTCTGCATGCTTCAAACCTTTTAAAATTAAGGTTTATTTCAAACTTCCCAGATTACCCTGCTCCTTGGGGTAATTTGGGATACTTTTATTTGTGTCTAGCACCTTACAAACAACATATGGAATTTTTTCAGACATGCCCTACAATAGCCCTTGCAAAATCTTTTTAAAATGAGCCCAAACTTAATTATGAAATGTTTCATGGTAAGAAATTATTAACAAAAAACCCTCACAACCGTCCTTTATTACCCTGTTTGACAGTATTTTTCATAACTTTTACTGGTGAAATTAGTCAAGGGCCTTAGAGCTATCTATAGGAAACAAAGTGGAAAATCAGACAGAAGCCACACATGAATCTGACAATAATGCCTGCAAATATGGGCAATTACACCCATACCTATGGCTTTTTTCCAAATTTTTCATTGAAAAACTAAATAAATGGCCTATTGTTACTGGGAATACTAATAAATTACATTAAAAATGTTTAGGTATATTTTATACCCCCAATTTAGGGAAATATTGCTAAATTTTCCAAATAGGTTAAGGAACAGGTAGGTAAAATTGACCACAGGCACAACCATTTTTAGTGCATTTTCTCATTTATGGAAAAAATGCACTATTGTGCTTGCCATGTCAATCTGTCCGTCTGTCCATCTGTCTGTCTGTGACCTCAAGTTTTTGTCAATGAGAAAATGTGCTCTCTGTCACTCACTGCAGTCAGTGCAGTGAGTACTGAGTTATATTTTTTCTCATTTGTGGGAAGCTTCTGGCCACTTTTTAAGTTGGGTCCAAGCCTCCAAGGTGCGACTGACAAGGTAAAATGGTTTTGGCTAAGCAACTTATTCTTATCTATTCTATAGGTACCTGCTCAAAATATAGTACATACCTATAGTACATCTTTCTAGCTGTGACTAGCTTTACTGCCATTTTTGGAGCTGCACAATTGGTGTTAAATTAAGTATACACACACCTCATATCTATTTGTTTACAGAAGTATTTGATTGGGCTTCAAGATTTCAAATGTATTGAAAATTTATTATTGGAAGCCATGAGATTTCAGTGATAGGTATGAAAATTTTAATCATGCATATATAGGTAATGTGATGGCTTGAGTTGCAGTGAAATGAGTGAATTAATTAAGTTGATGGTGTACCATCCATGACTCAACAGGAATAAGTGAATTGAGAGAAATAAAAAATTAATTCATGGATGCAATGTATTATTTCAACTTATTTCTTCTAGCATTATGATTAACTGATTTTCCAATTTTGCCACTGATGTTTTATTTCACTGAATTTATTTGTGTCAGGATGTTGTCTACTGCAACATCATGGCTGAGGAGGTGCCAGAGGTGAGCCAGAAGATGAGCATCACTGCAGTCCCCACTGTTGTGGTGACAAACACGGCTCAAGAGGGTAGCCCGGCAGCTGTGGTGGGCAGAATTGATGGAGCAAAGCCGGCTGAGCTCACTACTTTGGTTAAAAAATTGGTGAGTGAGAATTGGTAAGAATTCTATCCTAAATAACTATGGCTTGACCAATTTCCTGATACAAATTACCTGGTAATGGAGTTTCTTATCCAGAATGAGAATTTCTTCTTTATTTAAGTTCAAATACATATTTGTAATTGCATTAGCATCATCACAGCCCTCTTTTATAGGTAATTATCAACTCAGGCAATTGGATGACAAATTTGATGAGTACCGTAAAATGGGGTAACTTAGACCGGCGGGGTAACTTAGACCACTTTTTAAGTGGTCTAAGTTACCCCATTTTACAGTACACTTGAAAAAATTGTCCTCATTTCATTCAAATGATTAGATTGACAATAGAAAAAAATAAAGCTATTGTGCTTCTGTTTCAATAATTTTGTGCCGAGCCAATTTATTTGATGGTGTTGAAGAATCAAACTTAGAATGTAGCATGACATGCTGGTTTTTTCTACCAGCCTCACTGATTTGGCTAGCCCATTCCAAAAAAAATTTGTCTCAATACATTTTGTGCCTGCATTTTATCCAAGATAAAATGTTCTTTGAAGATTTGTATACATTTTTTCTATTTTTCAGTGCCTTCTAATTATATATTTTGATTTTGCAGGCTGCTAAAGCTTCACTTACTAGTACAGGCATTGGCAGTGGTTCTGTAGCAACTAAAAATGGTTCTGCTCCTGAGGACATCAATGAGAGGCTAAAGAAGCTTGTAAACTCAGCCCCCTGCATTCTATTTATGAAGGGTAGTCCGGAAAATCCCAAGTGCGGTAAGTTGTTAGATGTAAATTGCAAAAACTTGTGTTGGACCATGTTTTCAGGACCATTGTCAAGGTTCCTTTTCCTTCAGTCATTACATTTTGTTAATTTTTCTAGACTCTCTGCTGTCTTCATATCCTGACAAAATAGATAATGTATCTTATATTCTTATTGAGTTATAGATTGTGTCGGCAACAAACCCGTATTCTATTTTCAAAATTCATCAATCATATATCAACTTTATTAACTCAATTTTACAGGTTTCAGCCGCACCACGATTGAGCTTCTGGCTCGTCATAATGCCAAATACTCAACTTTCGACATTTTGACTGATGAAGAAGTTAGACAAGGTCTCAAAACTTTCTCCAACTGGCCCACTTATCCGCAGGTAGAGCTTTGAAAATATTTGAATTGAATTTATTTCGTCAGCAGTTGAAAAATTAATTACAAGTTTGCAAATAAAATTAATGATTACTACTATGTGATACTATGCTAGTTTTGTACTATACTAACATCTTATTCATTGCCTATTGCTGTTTAGCGTTTCATAAAGTATTGAAGGTTAGTTTAAATTACAATGAAATTGATCTAAAATCTTGTTGCCTTAATACTGGCTTCCGAAAAAGATTGACAAAGTTTTCTATTTGCAAGAAAATTCACTCATTTATTTCCAGGGTTGGCAATGATTAAATCATGTGATTAAATCACTTGATTTTTTTATAAAAAAATCATGATTTATTCAATTTTTTCGATTTTTTTATTTTTTTATATATTTAAATATATTGAGTGGCAGTCTTTACTTTATTTTGAGGTATTGTTATTCATGGTTTAGTATGAATGTACTATGAATGACAAATTGGTATATAAACTTGTTGCTTTAATTGTGTATTAGGTTCCAATAAATTGAATGTTTTTGGTGCAGAGGCAAGTGTTCCAATACATTGTACATAGCTAGCAGCTTAGCTAATTCTTATAAGGCTATAAGTAGTCTTTAACTATATGACAATTTGTTATATATTGATTACAATATATAATTAAAATGTGTTAGCTAGCTTATACAGGGTGGGGCAGAACCGATTGAGCAGTTTTGAGGCGAAATAAAAGAGTAATGGAGGTAACATACCATTTAAAATACTTATGTTTTGAAAACAATATCAGGAAGATGGTGTTTATTAGCTGCATCACACTGTTGGAGTCGTTCTCAGAAGTTTTCTACAGCACGTTCACACATATGGCGAGGTATGGCCATAACCTCTGCTGCAATAATCAGTTCCCTTAGCTGTGGTAGGATGTGAGGGTGACTTCTGAACCCCTTTCTTTTAGATGTCCCCAAAGAAAGAAATCGCAAATGCTCAAATCAGGTGACCTCGCAGGCCACTGTAAATCACCCCTCAGAGACACCAGACGTCAGGGAAACAGGCGTTTCAAAACATTCAAAAACATGGTTCCTGCAGGATGGTTCCCATCCTGCTGGAACCATACGTCTCCCAATTCTTCATTTTCAACAATGTTTTCCATCCTGGGCTGCAAGAAATTTTGCAACATTGCAGCATAGCTATCGGAATTCACTGTCACGGTTTCTCCCTCTTCCGAGAACGACTCCAACAGTGTGTTGCAGCTGACGGCCACCATCTTCCAGATATTGTTTTCAAAACATAAGTATTCAAAATGGTATGTTATGCTAATCTCAAGGAAAATAAAATTTCTTCTTTATGTACCTCCATTAGCCTACTCTTTTATTTCGCCTCAAAACTGCTCAACCAGTTCTGCCCCACCCGGTATATTGAGAGGTTGAGATTGTATTGACCTTTTAGATGTAAGCAATTAGAAAGATTTTTCACCCTAATACGAGTATTCTATTTAAGATATTTAATTTCAATCTTTAAATATGTGAATTTAAAACTAGAAACAAAACAATTACAATTATAAAACTATATATAAAATGATTAAATACAGTGAATGGAAATAAAATGTTTGAATTATGGACGTGTTTATTTCAAACAGTGTTAGCTTTTCTCTTAACTTAAGTCTCGTTTCAATTCGTTTGAGGTTTGTTTGGTTATCGTTCAGTTTATGCTTAGTATTGGTTTATTGGTATGAAATAAATGGGATAAGTGCAGTCAGTCACTCAGTCACTACTAGTCGGTGTGTTTAGAGTATAGAGTCTGGTAGATTTATAGAACATGAAACTAGTAGATCTATTGATAGTGATGTGCACTGTGCTATCAGCTACCTATCTCAGTATATGTTGTGCGACTCTTCAATGTTTAGAAGATCTGCATTCCTGAAGTGTTTTTGTATACTAAAGCCAGTTGAATGGTCAATATTTAGCTTGTTACCTTGCTCCATACAAACTTTACAAAGCTAAGGAATAGACTGATCAATAATTGTTTACGCAAAAATCCCAAAGTGGTAAACGCGCCTTGGCCTGTTGGTCATTATTAAAGGCAAAAAGTGCCCTTTTTAGCCATCCATTATGATCCACATACTGTTATTGTTAGTAGGCTAATTGCAACATAAAAAAAAACTTTCAAAAAAGACAAAAAAAAACTGAAAAAATCAAAAAAATCATGAAAAAATAAAAAATCATTGATTTTTTATTTTTTTGATTTAAAAAAAAATAAAAAATCACCAACCCTGTTTATTTCATTTTTTAATGAACTGAGTGCCATTTGGTATTAACTTTGTACTTGCTCAGCTGTACATCGCTGGTGAACTAATTGGCGGGCTGGACATCCTGAAAGAAATGGATGCCAGTGGTGAACTGGCAAACATATTGCCTAAGAAGCAAAACCTAGATGAAAGGTGAGTGATTGGAGTCCTTTTGTTCATAGGTACTTACGGTTCTGTTTGGTCAAGATATTCATTAATGTGACGCATAAGGTATAGTTAGGCCTTCAACTGTATCTTCATGCTTTTCTGTCAAAATGCCAACTACAAAGTTCCAAATCCTAAAACATTTCAAAAACCTACAAGCTTACTTTAAAAAATGATCTGTGTACTTGCACTTGCTTCTTTAAACATAGTTTTTCATCATCATCTTCATCATTTTCAGAATGGATATAGTTTTCCCAAAATGACTCGTTCTGTTATGTGACGTTAAAAAAACTCGTTACTAACAATTCTGAGAGCAAGTAAACCTTGCAACAAAACTAACCTGTCAACTGGTTAACCTCGGAACTAGCAAACCTGATGACAAAAAAAAAAATCTTGTTACGAACAAACTTTGTAGCTAGCAAACCTGATAACAAAAAAAATTTTGTTACGAACAAACTTTGTAGTTAGCAAACCTGGTAACTAGCAAACCTTGTAACTAAGAAACCTGATAACAAATAAATCTTGTTACTAACAAACTTTGTAACTAGCTAACCTTGTAACTAGCAAACGTTGTTACTAGTGAACCTTGTAACTAGTAAACCTGGTAACAAACAAACCTTGTAAATAACAAACCTTGTAACTAACAAACCTTGTAACTAACAAACCTTGTAACTAACAAACCTTGTAACTAACAAACCTTGTAACTAAACCTTGCAACTAACAAACCTTGTAACTAACAAACCTTGCAACTAACAAACCTTGTAACTAACAAACAAATCTTGTTACAAACAAACAAACAAACCTTGTAACTAACAAACCTTGTAACTAACAAACCTTGTAACTAACAAACCTTGCAACTAACAAACCTTGTAACTAACAAACCTTGCAACTAACAAACCTTGTAACTAACAAACAAATCTTGTTACAAACAAACAAACAAATCTTGTTACTAACAAACTTTGTAGCTAACAAACTTGGTATTTGCAGACTAAAGTCGCTGGTGAACCAGGCACCTCTGATGGTTTTCATGAAAGGCAATCCTGAGAATCCTCGCTGTGGCTTCTCCAAAACACTCATGGAAATACTCAAGGAAGTAGAGTAAGTCTTCTATGAAGATTGGGGAAATAAAAAAAGTTTTAACATAAACATCCGCTGAGCCATTCGCTTGTGGCTTGTTTTGCACTAAATAATGTAGCTGCGTTGCAAACTGATATCAAATTGTAGGAAAATTTCGTGGCATTAATTTAACATGACCAAAAAATTTATCTGATTCATTTGTCAGACTTGTTTAATACCATATTAAAAATTCTTTTTTTATTCTCAAATAATGCTCTTATCATACTTATTTTGTACAAGTTTTTAGCCATTTGCAAATTTATAAACGATTTTTTCAATTTGGTAAAAAATCCATATAATTTTATTCTATTGTACAGTTTAAACTGGCAATGAATTTTACTCGTTTCTCCCAGTAGTATATGAACTTAGACTTCTTTAGCCGAAAACGTAAGCCCTGATGTTCTAGATAAAACATTCATTTCTCTGTTGTTGACAGTCTCCCATTCTCCACGTTTGATATTCTGACTGATGAAGAAGTTCGTCAAGGCCTGAAGACTTACAGCAACTGGCCCACTTACCCTCAGGCGAGTCTCGTACCCTCAGGCTAGTCACTTGCCCTCAGGCGAGTCACTTACCCTCAGGCGAGTCACATACCCTCAGGCGAGTCTCTTACCCTCAGGCGAGTCATTTACCCTCAGGCGAGTCACTTATAGGCGAGTCACTTACCCTCAGGCAAGTCACTTACCCTCAGGCGAGTCACTTACCCTCAGGCGAGTCACTTACCCTCAGGCGAGTCACTTACCCTCAGGCGAGTCACTTACCCTCAGGCAAGTCACTTACCCTCAGGCGAGTCACTTACCCTCAGGCGAGTACTTACATTTTTTATTTTGTGTGTGCATATTTTCATTATAAATTTTCTTACTCTAAGATTTTGGTCCTCGTTAAATTTTATACGTCTTAATTTTTAGCATATTGCTTTTTTGTGTTAAATTATTATTAAAAAATTCTCATATAATTTAGATATTTATTGAATCGTTGACTGTACTCTCTACTAAGGAATGTTTTTTTTTTCAACTTCCCATTCATTCTAACTACTTCAGCATGTGGGTATGCAATTATCTTACATTTTGATGTGTTGTGCAGGTGTATGTGAAGGGCGAGCTCATCGGTGGTCTGGATATAATCAAGGAGATGAAGGCCGATGGATCGCTAGCAGACGCTCTCAAGGGGGTGTAGTGGCATGACCGCAGACACGCAAAGGGCTGTAGTGGCATGACCGCAGACACGCAAAGGGCTGTAGTGGCATGACAATGTGGCTGGTGAACCAGGCACATTTTCCTGTTTTTTTCCTAGCGTTTCCACTGTTGAGGCGGAAATAGCATGGTAAACTAGGATATAAAGCGCTCTGCGTGTCCCTAAAGAAGTTGAAAATATTCTCACATGGCATGTAATACCTAAACTCTACCTGTGAAATTAACTTCTGTAGTATAATTTAAATGTCATCATTGCTAAAATCGTTTCAAAGGATTGTTATTGCCTACCGTATTCTTTTACGAGTTACTCGTTTACTGGAAAAGGTAAACCATCACTTTCCATCCACATTTCTTGCATTACTTTCGAAGTCGCGGTCAATGCTCGAAACGCGGTTTGCTGGCAGTTGCCAGCAGGATTTTTGTTAAACTGTCGTTCCAGGTTCATTGCGCTGGATGTTCATGATTGCCTATTAATAAATCCTTCAATCCTGGTTTCTTTTTTAATTCCGGAACTCGCAACTTGGATTTGCCTAGGTGAAATGAATAGCATTGTTATATTGAGTTCGAGTACTCAGCGCGCAGTGTATTATGAAGGCGTCTATTTCTAGACGTCTTCTACATCGGTTCTTGATATGGGCCACCCCCTACTTCAGTTCTTGATACGGGACACCCTCTACATCGGTTCCTGATATTGGATGCTCCATACATCAGTTCTTGATACGGGACTCCCCCTGTATCGGTTCCTGTTACGGGATTAAACGGATCTATTTCGAAGTTAGGAATGAATTGTAAAGGGACTCTTAAATAATTGGAAATGTCGGCCTTTTTCTCTGTTCAAGCCCGGGTTCGCTTTTGAGTGTCATCTGGGAATCGTTAATTTTCAGCTTTAAATTCCTTCTAGTTTGCAGATAATGGATGCAGCAGTTTTAAGCGCATTTTCTCATTTATGGAAAAAAGGCGCTATTGTGCTCGCCATGTCCGTCCGTGACTTCGCGTTTTCGTCGACGAGAAAATGCGCTCTCTCACTCACTGTAGTGCGTACTGAGTTACATTTTTTTTACTGAGGATACAAATGTAACTTTTCCCGTCACGATATTTTGAGGCTAATTACGTTGATAAAAAAAAAAACGGGTTATGGAGTTAACACCCGCAATCTTTTATCAATACCGTTACCTATCGTAAGATTAAAAACTGCAAGTAAGATTTTTATATTTTATTCACAATATTGCGATGACAGAAACTATGTCAGCTATGTACCGACATTTTCTCTGATCTGAAAAGTTATCTTACAATTATTCAACAACTAAAAACGGTGAATCCGTTGGCATGTCGGTGGGAAATCAAATGCCAAAAGATATTTATTTGAGCCTCTATCGCTATTATTTAATACATAGGTCTGTAGTTGCGTGCATCTGTGCAGACATACCTAAGGTACATGAAGTACACTGTACAGTCAATTACACATGGAATTTTGGAATAAATTTATTACATATTACTGTAGAACTTACCTAGAAGCGGGCTTATTCAGCCAAATGTCAATTTCATTCCAACGTCATCAATAAAGTATTAACAAGTGTTTATATGGCACGTGTTTATGTACAAAATTTAAATTACCTGTACAGACATTTAAATAGCTCAATTTGCAAAGACCCCACATATGTTGCACATTAATTTGAGCCTGTTATTTATACAATTAATTACAATCCTCTTAAAGTCTTCTGACAGCTTGTCAGAAGACTTTAATACTTCCTTTTCTAAGAATACAAATTATTTTTCGTTGATTCTTCACCCGCCAATGATTTATTAAATTCATTAAGTATAATGTTATTAAGTTGTTACAAGTTGAAAACTACTCAATTTGTTAACTATTTGTTCCTTTTCCTGCAATTTTGTTAGTTGTACATTATAATTAAATAGTCAATTTTCAGTGGATATACCCGAAAAGAAACGCCTAGTATGAAGCCTCAAGCTAGTGTAATTTTATTGTTAATGACCACATATTATAACCATGGGAAGAAAGAGGCAAGTTTCGTTCATGGATAATTTGGGCGGGAATACTATCATTTAACTTATCTTATCTCGGCCAATGTATTGCTTTCAATTGTTCGCTAACAATTGTGATTCTGTAAAATTACGCGTATTCCAAGTGGAACAGTAATTCTCAGTTTCATGTGAATAAATATGTGTGAACATCTACAGTTTTCAATGTGCTGTATTATAATTGGTTAGTGTTTCGCACGTGACAGTACAAGACCACGTTGAAGTGCCAAATAATATTGTTCATAAATTCAAGTATTTAGTTCAGAATTTTTCGCTCGATCAGTGCTTAAATAATATAAACCGTTCGTAGCAGTCTTACGATTTAACACAACTTAATTGTGACTTTAAAGAAGCATAATAATGAATTATTGGTATCGTCTCCTAGACGAAGGCATTGAGAGATCTAAAGGCGACGTGCACATAGACAGATCAAGCGCCGCCGAGCTTTCCATTAGACCTGACATGCTCATTCCAACATGATCTTTGTCATCTCCTTCTTCATCCTCATCGTCTTCTTCTTCTTGATTTTGTTCATCTTCCTCGTCGTTGTTTGTCGTGCTCAAAGGACTGTATGCCATCATGCCTGCAGTTGCCAGGTTGATGTCCATGTTCGACATGCTGCTGCTCCCTCTCAAGATCATCTCAGTCTGGTACTGCCGCAAGCTATCAGAAGCACTTTGGTATTGCCGCATGTCTGACTGATACCGCTGCAGTGCAACGGTCCACGCTGCTGCCGTCATTTGAGAAGAAATGTTTACAGCTCCCATAGAAGAATTGGAGTTCGGGAAAAAAGATGGTTGCAGAAGTGAAGGAGGTGTAGGCGTCATCGGGATCGGCGAGGCTCCAAGAGACGAGGAACCCGACGACAAAGGGGATATCGAAAGAGGAGGGATTGCAGTTACGGAGGGATCTTCCAGTTTTTTAGACGAGTGGCCGTATATTTTGACGTGTTTTCTTAGGGATGAGGGGTCGGTATATCTTTTGCCGCAGCCCGGATGCCGACATTCATAGGGCTTGTCGACCTGATGTGTGCGCGAGTGCTTGAAACGATCAGAGGAATTGCTGTATGCCTTACCGCAGCCTGGCACGCCGCATACGTACGGCTTCTCACCTGTACGTTGAAAACGAATTTGTAGAAAGAACTAAAATGATGGAGACCGATTATGTACCGATAATTCATATCTAATTGTTATTTGTGATCAAGGGTCTAAAGTTAATTCAGATTTACTTAACAACATCATAAAAATCGTACTGACCTTTTACAAAAATGAATTGCAAATCTTGACTGTAAAATCTTAGTAATTTTTACTGAAAAAATTTGGATGAATTTGGATGGATCCTTGCTTACTCTGAAATGAATCATCAAAAATAAACTGCATATATGAAATAATTTTTGTATGAAATACAAAGGCATTGTAGACAGAGTGCCACTAACCGGTGTGGGTGCGGGCGTGGATACGAAGATTCTCGTGTCGCGTGAAACGCTTGCCGCACTCCGTGCACTGGAACGGCCGCTCGTTCGTGTGCGTCCGTATGTGGATTTGCATTTTGTACCTGAACGTGGGAAGGAAGTTATGATATATTTTGGAAATATCTTCTACCTTGAGATGGTTTATATCATTCGAAATAAAAAGTTATCCGTTTGCGATTAAATTGTAAAACGGATTGTTGTTGGCGTATGTCTAGGACAAGAATACAATGTATTCATGGGAGCTGATGTGTACCGTCATTTCTCATAGCTTAGGACTTCTAAATATCCGTATTTCTGAAGCTTAATCGCAATTGAGCATTGCTGGAAGCTCTCATAATCATTACGCATAGCTACGCATGTTGAGCCACTGGATCAACGAACGTTTCATGAGCCCATTCAAAACTTTACATTAGTTTCCATAATGCGTAAACCTCAGAAAAATAATTTAAATCATATTAGGACGAATTTATGGTCAAATATATATCACAGAGCTGGTGCAGTAGAGCAGCGAACGCTTCATGAGCCCATTCAAAACTTCACTTAAGTTTCCATAATACGTAGACCTCAGAAAAATAATCTAAATCATATTAGGAAGAATTTATGGTCAAGTATGTATCACAGAGCTGGTGCAGTAGAGCAACAAACGCTTCATGAGCCCATTCAAAACTTCACTCGAATTTCTATAATACGTAGACCCCAGAAAAATAATTTAAATAATATTAGGAAACATTTATGGTAAAATTTGTATGACAGTACCAGACCTGGCATTGAATCCCTTGTCCCTAGAGCAGCCCTGCCACATGCAGTGGTAAGAGCCGCCCTGCTGGGTCGCCATGTGTGTCGCCGTCAGATGCGCCACCAGCTCGTCCATCGACTCCAGGTCCTGACCGCAGCCTGACCACCTGTAGGATTTATAATTGAAATTAAACTTCTGCTTTTTTATTAATTAAATGCAACTGAAAAATGTACTGCGTCGACTCCAGGTCATGGCCGCAGCCTGACCACCTGCAGGATTAATAATTGAAATTTAACTTCTGCTTTTTTTATTGATTAAACGCAACTGAAAAATGTACTGCGTCGACTCCTGGTCATGGCCGCAGCCTGACCAACTGCAGGATTTATATAATATTATTGAAATTCTACCTTTTTTTAGCTCATTTTCTCATTTATGGAAAAAGCGCTATTGTGCTCGTCATGTCCGTCTGTCTGTCTGTCCGTCCGTCTGTCCTTGACTTCACGTTTTCGTCGACGAGAAAATGCGCTCTCTGCAATTCACTGCAGAGAGTACTGAGTTATATTTTTTATTGATTAAATGCAAATGAAAAATGACTGAGTCGATTCCATGTCATGGCCGCAGAGAACAAACTGCAGGATTTATAATCAGGATTTATTATTGAACTAAAACGTCAGTCCCTATAACGTTTTCCTGATTGTCCGCAAAGCAAACTGTACTGAGTCAACCCCATGGTCTGGACATCTCGACTACCGGCTGTCATGATTAAAATTGAAACTGAAACTTTTGTCACTTTCTTTTGATTGAATAATGTTAATGTGAAATTTAAGTAACTGATTAAAGGCACAAGTCACAGCCTGATCTCCAGAAATGAGCTTTCATTGTAAACATTCCCACGTCTGCATCCTACGTTCCATTAGAAAAATGTTTGGACAGATTTTTTCAGCGCACTTTCCGGTTTTAAACGCACTTTCCAGTCACCTGCGAAAATTACAATATTTTATTGTTTACACTTCAGTATAAAACGTGAAATTTTAATATATCAATTAATGAAATGCTTGTTTCAATTTGAAATAGTGTACGGCCCGTCTTCCAAATTTTATCTTATTTAATATTTGCATCATCATGTTCAGTAGTGGCAATTTATTATACTGTATAATATGATTGGTTATGGATCTCCTCATAATTGAACTATTTATATGGATTCACACTGCAAAAACATCTGATTATTTTACGGGTTCGCAATCTCGGAGAATTTAGATGTACAAACTTGGCGGATCGATTTTTCAGCACCGAAACTGTTCCGCATGTTTGCGTGTAAGAGATATCTTCGCCGGCCCCCTGCGTGGTTGCCGGCGCTGGTATCTTATCTACGCCGGGCGCTACATGAGGATTGGGCCCGCCTAATGCGATTCGCTTGTCGAACGCTTGCTCTGCTGCCGACCGGCATTCCTAACTTGCCTCTTCTCTTCATTAACTAAAGGGTAAAACACTCTCGTATGTGCGTTAAAAAGTTATCATACTCTGTGTCTCCTGACAAGCAAAATATTCCATCTATTCTTAGGCTCCATTAAATAGGAGCTTTTGGACCAGCGATCTTGCTGAGGAACAGTTAATGCAATTTGACATTAAAGATGAGTTAATTTTTGTTGGTTCAATTAGCTTGCGTTCTATGCATAGTTCTGCAAAAATCTAATAAAAAAATTGTCAATACAAGTAGTTAGCTCATTGAGAATTAAAAGCGGTACTAATTTTCATTGAGAAACAGAATGAATTCAGACACTCTGAACCCCAAAAAAGTTTCCTGATCACAAAGCATTTGGTAAGCACGCGGCTTTCAAACCGTAACGCTCCAGCGTCCGATTCTCAATCGCAGACGTTAAAAAAATTCCACGGCTATGATCAAACGAAATTTTTAGATAAACTAATTAAGAACTGATTGAGTTTCCGTGTACGTCGCAGACACTGATGCGTTTTTGCCAGCACGATGCACGACTCGATATTGAATGTGTAGCGCTGCGGCTGACAGGTTTTCTCAATCACGAGACATGCCAGTAAACCACGATAAACTAATCGCAACTGTACAGTAAGAAATACACTCATCTAATATTTAAAACCGATGTTTAAAAAAAAATGCAGACTATAATTTTAAGTGTCTGTGATATATTCTTTACCATTAGCTCTCAGAAAACCGATAAGTATACAAGTGTAGTCAAAAATATATTTATTAGAGGAAGTTTGATTGTCAAATCGATAATATATTGATATAATGAATGGAATTGCGCGCTTTAAGCCAAACTCGTGTTAAAAAATTAAGGCGAAAGAAGCCTTCAGTCGCGTTATAAACACAGATAGCCATTTGTGCTTCGGCTAAAGTTCCACGTGTGATTAATTATTAATTTGATTTATTAGTTAAGCCGTTTTATCCTTATTCAGATGCCAGATCTAAAAAAATGGGACCTGACAAATATATTTGCCAATCCCAATACGCTTTTCACAACAATCCTGACACGCGCCGTTAACTATCATTGGCCAACTATCGTTTGAAACGTTCAGTCGGCAGTTTCATCGTAATGAGAGTCACCATTCCCAAGTTGATTGCTCTCCAAGAATAAAAATCCTGTTTTTTGGAAGTTCTTCCAATAGGTAATTATTGTTTCTTTTTAACTTAGACATAAAAGACCAAGATCTTAGTAATTGTAGGACAAGAGACTTTGTTGTAATCTATTTACTGAAAATCTTGGTAATGTTAGTGATAATTAATACAAATGAATCGTGAATTAAACAGCGAAAAACAGTTATAAAAGTTAATTCGCGCAAAGGCTCGTAGACTGCAGACATTGTTTCTGAGCGAAGATCACTTTATTGTTGAAATAATTTAAAACGATTCAAGAAAACTAACATCATATACATAAGCTTCTCAACCACTAGTGATTCTTCTCAGAAGATAGAAGCAAATGAACGGCAAGCAACGTTCGTGTTTAATCATCGCAAAGAGTCAATATCGACCAATTTCCAGCAATATTTCTCACAAGGAGTAAATCTTTGGTGTCCTGATTGTTGCATCGCATGATCGATGGGATGACCAAGGCTTGACCAGAGCAGTGCTTTACCGCGCTCAAATTACGCCGTCGCGAGAAAGCTGGGAGCGAGACGCAGACGCTCCATATAAGGAATCGCAGCTCCCCAGTCAATGATACAATGTTGTACAGTCTGCTAATATGTGTGACTGATAAGTCCCGTGTTCTTAATATCATAAAGTATGATTGGAGGACAATAAAAACTAATTTTATTCGCGAGTCGGGGAAACTTTCTTCTTGTCCAGTAACGCGGAAAGGAAACAAAAACGCGTGTGTACCGTAGCCAGCTTAGGTGGGCGCTTTCGCACTCGCTCCAGCAATGAATGAGCAGCTAGTCTGGTCGCTGCTGAGAGCCGCGGCGCGCTCGCTAAAAACTGCTACCGCTGCTCCGCAAATGGTATAAGCATGCAAGAATTTAATCGATGCGACTTTCTATTGAAGTACTCATTGGATGCCGTTGTAATGAGCTTGCCTTGCAAGACAATGAAGCATCTCGATCAGTGTTGCCATCATGAACTAATTAGTCGCTCATGAAATGATGGTATTTTTTCTAGACCGCGGCTCCGGGCACGTGTCTCAGAGCTGGAGCTCACACTTCGCGAAATCGCATGCAAATGAGGTTGTGTTATGACCACTCCAAATTTTCATCTTTTACTGTGATGATTGCTAAATTATAATTTCACCCGAAAGGAATTCAGACGATGAATGATAAACTTCATTCGTTTCAACAAGTCTTAAAAAATAAAAAAGATTGCTAGTTCGTAATGTGACTAACAATATCCACCGCTTACAATTTGCTAGCAGTGAAAAATAATTTATTTTTGTACTACATTGACATCAGTACCCTATATGGGTTGTGAGTTACTTGCATCGTGAGACAGTTATAAATAATGACTATAAATCCAACATATTTTTGGCGATGATATCGTAAACACTTCATTCGCAAACGAACTGTAATCGTTATAGTCTAAACATCAAATTGTTAACATGTAAAATCATTTGACGCAAATTGGCAAAGTACGTTCATGGAAGAAACAGTAACCCCAACAATCCAAAAATTGTAAGCGAACGAGGAGCCAAACCCTTCATCATTGCGAAGTTATTGACCATTTCAATAATTTGTTATTGAATTTGTTATCCGAAGTTATTGACCCTTTATTTTCTTCAATAATTAGAGACGCATAAATATTATAACTTATCGTTATTAATTAATGCAAACACAGAACAAATGAAAGGCTCACACATGCATAAACAGGAAACTCATTTTCACGCGGCTCCTTCTCAGACATTCCAAGTTTGTTAAATTTATTTTTCTGCGCCGTCTACGGTGCTCCATCGAAAAAGAATCCGGTGATCTCCAAGTTTTTGCATTATAGTGAAGTAAAATTCGCAAATATGTCACAGGTAAGATTGCAGGAATGCTGAGTTGTGAGTCACACATACCGCCAACATTCCTTCACTAGGTAAAAATGAACGTTGGTCGTACATTTGTGACCGGTTTGCTATGATATCTGGTACCAGGAACTAATTTCTCAGGTCTAAACAGGCACTTTTTATCAGAAATATTCTAGAGTTCATTGAGAAATCTCGTGCTCTAGATTACTCAACCGCTGTCATTCATTGCGGCAGGCTACGTGAGCTAGGCTAGGCCAATGCAATGAATGTATTTTATGTATGTTTTGCAATATATTTTTTATGTGAGTCATATACTCGTAATATTGTGATAGCTTAGCATAATTTCTCATAAAAATAAACTATTCAAGACCAGGGAGTAGCAAATTTTATCATTTTGTACTCTTTTTAACAAGTTTTATTTGGATTTAATGACAAACATTTGTAATACTTTTATACATGAGTCTAAAACTTTTTGGTTTCATGCGAGATTTTCCTGAAAACGAATGTCAAGGAGAACAAACGAATAAAAAGCCATAATTATCGTTACAGGAATTATGTTGTACAATATTTCCCAATTTATTCAAATTCCGCGGAACTAATTATAGTTTTAAAGAGTTATAACTGAGCGGTCAGTTCTTATAGTTATCATCTATTAAAATTCTCCTTCAATGGCCCATAGCTGAGACAACTAAACCCTATATGGAGATGAGCAGAGCTAATTAAGTTCTACCTGATTCAAATTTTCAGATCAAATGAAATTTAAATCAGGGTAATATGTACTAAAATTAAGTTTATTATATATCAACTGTCGCAAGAAAAATTCAGGCTAGCGTATCATTCAAATAATTTAATTAATTTATCACCAATTTCATCATGACAAGTAGAAAACGTCTAATTTTTCTACACGTTACCTGCATACAAAGTCGCGAGATTCTTGTTCTTCGGTTGACATCGGAAGATCAGGTGTCATCGTTGTAGCCGGAAACAATATTTTCTGAATTTCAGCAGCCTGAGCCGATCAACTTTTATTTGCCGTTAATTTCGGATATGTTTTAATTACCCTATTATAAATCAAATCTGGCTCAAACTAGCCAGGGGTTATAAATGCCTCTGCATTTTGAACAAGGGAAAATTATTCTGAAATAAGTTGTTTTGAAAATCCGTATGAACGTGAAATTTTAATGGATGGAAGCTTACATACAAAATGGCGACTGAAAACAGGTAAAAATTTTCTGTATGACGGGCGAAATCTGTTCAAGGGAAAAAGTCAATTATTTACTTTTAAATTAAAATTTAATACACCTTAAGAGTATGTTGTTTGCATCATAAAAATTGAATAATTATAAAAAATTTAAAACCAAACCACAAGATACATAAGAAGAGAAATGATAGAATCTTCCAAAAGTTATTGATTACGTAGCGTAAATAAATCTACATGTTTTTATTTTGTTCAACGTAAAGCGAGAATAATTGATGCCATGGGAAAATTTTGGATTTGTTACGGTGGAAAAATTAAGCTCAACTCTTGCTTCCCGGGGATGGAACTTTAATCGATCGAGGGGAAATTTCCTGTAGGTGTCCTTCCATTTTTATATATGTGTGGGGGATGAATTATGTAAGTCATCCTCCATCGTGGGAAGCAATTAGCAGCAAAATTAATTGCCGATATTTATTTTTAAATTTTAGATAAATGATTTTTTTGTGTCATCCCTAATCGTAGATATCCCGTCAAGTAAAATTCTTCAAAAATTTGTCATTGTATCTCGTGCCTTGTTAAATATCGTATTGAGATTAGATTCGAATTCGAATTGAAGCTATTCGAATTTTTGTACCCTTGAAGAAGAATTAGGTTTTACATGTCATTAAAAATTTTTATTTCACAATATATTCCTTTGGTTCATTGTATAATCTTTTGTGTTTCTTGTTATAAATAACCAAGATTTACAATATACTCTTCGGCCTACGAAAAAGGTTTTAGTTGACATTTAATTATTTCGGTTACAAAATATTCTATGATTAAAAAATCGCTAAAATATTATATCGCTAAAATAAAATATATAATTATATTTTTCGCCTATAAATCAACGATAATTGGATGAAAATCTAGCGTCTTTAATCGTTGAAATTAACTAGCGACATATTTTTAAAATCATTCATTTTCGTAAGAGGATGACGGGGCAAGGCGAGGACCATGTTAGGTGAGACGCGCGAGCTTCGCTCATCGCGGTGCCCAGACGCCGCTTGCGGTGTGACTGGATGGTCTCGCTCGCCGCAGACAACTTTCTTCCAAATTACACTGATTTTTTATGTAAATGATCGTCGCCGGGGGCCAAGTATGCGCACCGCCCCGCGAGTACGGCAGTCCATCGAGAGCTATAGGCCCCTGAGCCGAGAGAGCTGTTCGAGGCACTCGTGGAATCCTCGAATGAAGTTAGTAACAACGACCGAGTTGCTACGGTGTCAAACTCAATCATAATGATTTATTGTATTTTATGTACGTGTGTGCTTCATTATATAGAACATTATTTTTACCGTAGTTGCGTTCTACCTAATCGATGTCACTGTTTGGAATGTCAGTGATTTTTTTTAAATAAAAGAAAAGGTTATGCAATTTGAGGATTTGAAAAAATACGTTCTTCTTAAATTCACCTCATTCCCCAATAAAAATGTCTAAGGCAATAGTTAATCGTTTTTCTCGAGTCAAGGACTGTAATAATTTTTGTGTGAAGTTAAAATTTTTGTCGCAATTTTTTGTCGCAATGTGTGCTTATTGTTCAGATTGCCGTGGAATTTTCAATTTAAACTTTATCCTCTAGCAGTCAAAATAAAATTACTTTTTAGACTTGTTCGTAATTGACCAAAATTTATTTTGCGAACTTATTTCAATCGCAAATATATTTAGAAGCCCTCAGGAATCGATGCAAAACATTTGGACAAATTGATTACGATAATGTAAAATAATTGTACGTTCACTTAGCAAACTAATAAATAAATCTGTATTTGCTTCCAGGAAAGTTTAAACTGAATCAATTGCCGTGTTATTGTTTACAAATTAGTGTGTAAAAATGATGCAAACAAAAACAATAAATGAAGCCCAAACTCGTAAGCAAATGATTAAATACTAAGCTTTGAATTTTTAAGAATTTACCACTTCGATAGCGATGCAATATGTATTTAGTTCTATAATCATGCAGGTACTTAAGACAAGCAATTTGAAACGACTGAAATTGGTAATCATTCAAAACTGATAATGTCTGAAAATTTTTCAAATTAAAAATTATTTATGCAGCTTTCCTCTGGCAGACATCGATCTCTGGCACACTGAACTTGTTCATGTTGGCGCTTGACTCATAGTCACTGCAAATCAGTAACAAATGAACAATATAACAAAAATTTTCTAATTAAGAGAGAGCAAATATAAACTTGATCTTGGTTCCAGACTTTGGAGTAACCAATCATCGAGATGCATTTCTGAATTGTAACGATTAAAAAAATTTATTTAAGCGGAAAAATATACTCAAAACAATTCCGGAATAGCAATAAATACATGTATAATTTTATTCACATGAGAATTATTAATTTACGAGACCAACATCACTGGATCAAAGACATTTTTTATTTTAATGTGAATGAAAAACAGCACTGCAGTAACACCAAAACACTTCATATACAATCAGTGATTCGAAAATAGGCCACATTTGTCTTATTTATCGCACGAATTAAATTTTTTCGCAAATGGTGAACAGTCAAGCATTAAAAACATAAGAACAGTTTTCACTGATTACCGTAGGAATTGTACCTTCACGTTTGATTGAAAAAATTATAAAACGTGCATTCCCACTGCCTATTGCAATAAATATTTCAATCGCAGTTAGATTGCAGTCGGAGAATACATCGATCAGCTGATCGAACCACGGGGGGCAGTCGGTACGCGAACTTTTGTAGGTCGTACAACAGCGATCAAGTGGCGGCAGATACGTAAGTAGTCTCAGCTCCTGGTGTGGACTGACGATGTTAAAGGAGCGTCTTTTTGGTGTGTGTTCACGAGGAGACGTCGGCTGGCTAACTGCGGCTTCATCTCATGGTCGGTAATAGGCCCAGAATAGGAGCCACCCGCCAGGTAAAGCCTCTGTTTTTGGTGCTGGATCAATGGGGGTACGGCCTATTTTTGCTGCGGGCTATGTCTGGCTATTACGTGCGTTCATGTACAGAAATGGACGTTTAGCTACTATTGCTGTGATGATATATATAAGTACCAAGATCTGATTAATTTGTAGCGTTTGTGAAAGGAAAAATTAGCAAAAATTAGATTCGTTAGAACAAAATATCGAACATACATTCTCACGATGTAGTGCAGGTATGGAAAGGACAATTATCTATTACTATGCTCCAGAAATATCGAGAGAAATTCATCCTTCCTTCAAAGCAGGAATATAAATTAAATCAAAATTGATTGTTAATATATCGGGCACATAGGATATTGTCAAGTGTGACCACGTATCACGAGATCCAACCGTTCAGGTTTGAAAACGATTAGAAAGAAAAAATCGGGATGAATACCGAGTTTCGATAAGCTTTAGTCACATAATTAAATAGATTTAATTACATTACATCTATTACATTAACACTAAGAAACTGAAATGTTTTGATATTGAATGGTGTGCTGTTGTGGAATAAGCAATAATAATTAAAGAAAGTTTTTAAAAACAGGCAAGAAATTTTTTTTTTGCTAGTTGGCAAAAGCATTTGGTGTAAAATTGAACGGTGAAATAAACCTCATTTTTCATTCGAGCTAACCGAGGCTTGCATGAGTAAGTTCACTCCAGAACTTACCCAGACTACACTAAAAAGTTTTATCGAAAAAGCCGTTCCATCTAAATTCTAAGGTTTCGAAATCTGATTGCAGCAAATCCATATGTACTTTAATAGCTGAAGGACATTTTTGACACCAGTTTAAAAAAATAATAAAACAGCAGATAAATTGAACTATACAAGTACAGACTGTCAACCCAAAACGTGAACTAAAAATGCACAATCCACCTTCTCGCTAGCCGGACATCAAGAGAAATAAGACTGCCGAGCTTCACAGCCTTTAAATGCTGCTAACAATGATTAAAGATTATATTTTCACACATTTTTGTCTCGTTTCCTTGACTGAAATCAGTCAAGATTGCACGAGCGGTCGGGTTCAGAAATTCGTAATCATCATGCCAGGCGGGCCCTCAATAATCGAAAAATGAAATATTAAAAATTTACATAGTATATATATCATATATATCTTACCTTATAAGTCCGAAAAAGTATTTGTGGTGATGGAATCTATGTTGAATATGAGATGAAAAAAATTCTTGCAAGATCGATCTCATGTTTGCTATTCTTGCATTCATTTTTCCGATTGAAAAGTGTCATGATACCGGTATTCTTTTTCGTCATTCGGAACGTTTGTGAAAAAGTCTAATTTAATCAAAACCATCGAGGAAAATATCACATCAAATATAATATTATTCCTGCCCGATGAATTCAGTTAATTTATGCCTTAACTATTTCGCTAAACTTTTCAATGGTATCATCACATTATTCCACGGCTTAATTTAATTAAATTTCAGTCACTATCAATTTCTTCTAAAAACTTCAACATAATTACTGCACCAAAATCCTGCGGTCAGTCGCGCGCAGCACAAATCTCAAAACCCCTTAACATTTTTAAACGACTAAATATGATAGATGGTCGGAAATATTTCTTTGGACCTCCTCAATGGCGTGAAGGAAACACGCGTGGTTCGTTGCCTCATAATCTGCCGCGCGTCTGTTTCCTCTCCTGTACTGCAATGCCGGGACGTATCGAGGATGACGCTCACCTTGTGACAGCAGCAGTTCAAGCTTTTTAGCCTCACACGTCATCCCAGAAAATCCCTAGTACCTAGATGATGACGTAGGCTAGATGAATCCTAAGATGATGGTGACAAGAGTGCCGAGGCCTAGGTACAAACAGTATTGCAACTCGCACTTTATGAAAGAAACACTTTCCGAATTCTGACTGATTCGACTTCTGGCGGAATCATTCGAAATTTTGTAAGTTGTAATAGTGAATGATTTACTGAATTCAGTTTGAATACGTTTGCGGATTCACGAGCTCACAAAAGCTTCCACTGCCAAACCTCCTCCGAAATGATTTTCCTAGACTATGTACGGTATTTGTACTATTCCATCTCTTCTATAGCAACGAATAGTTAAAACAATACATAGTT